CATTGTCCAGCTGAATGGACGGCATTAAGAAAAAGCCTGTGTCTCAAAATGTGTCTCTCATCAGTCTTTCTTTCGTTCTTTTCTCCTCACTCTCCTCTTTGCTTCTACCTCTCGTCTGACAGACAGGTCCAGCACATGCAGGTCTGGGGTCGACAACATGTAACCCGACCCAGCCCAGCGCTCGCTTCTCGCTCTCTAATGATGTTGGCTCAATCCCATTCCCAATGTTGGTTTAACCTGATGTTAATGTGCCCATTCTGTGCTTCTGAAACAAAGTTCTGTTCCACAAGGTCTTGCATACATCCAGCCTCTGTCACCTTTGCTGTCAAATGTGGTTTTTAAGTAGCGCTATATCTTTAACAAGAAAGAGCACATTTTGAATGTCTGTGATCACGTATGTTATTGCTTGTCACAGTGGGCGAGGTACGTGTGAGCAACACTGCAGACACCCAAGCAACCTGAGAGTGTTTGGAATATTTCAACACTGTTAGACTGGACTTTTCGAAGCTCCACTTTTTCTACCCAGTGGTAGATGTTTGTATTTCTATTATCGGTTGCTGACAGGTCTTTGGGACAAGAACCATTATGAATGGTTTAAAATTGCCTAAGGAATAAAAGCATGAAAACACAGAGGCAATGAAAAGCGTTGGTGAGAATTTGCAAAGACAAACACCACAAAAACTTTTCTTACAAGACAAGCTATTATACTATAATTAAATTATATAACCATTATATTATAGGTATATTATCTCTATTATTATAACTATCATTGAGTTACCAAAAGCAGTTCCAAATCTGTGTTGCCAAGGAAACTTTCTTGACCTTCTTGACCCCCTGGCTGAGCTACACCTGTCAGTAAGTCACAACTGCATTGTGGGATCCCCTCCTCCTACCTCCACTTTATCCTCACTGCGGAACAAGGTCTTGAGGCTACATCCATACTAATACATTTAATAAAAGGGATTTCTTTTCTCAGACCAACGTTGAGGTGAAACTGTTACTGACAGTAAGTGTTTTACTGGTAGTTGTGTCATGACTGCTCAGAATCAACCAGGAAGCAAATGTAGGTGAGTGCTTCATTCTTTCCAAACGTCTAAGTTTAGGCTCGTCCACACTACAACACAGTGTCAGTATTGTTTTAGATGCAAGAAAACTGTGGAGTAGTGTGGGTGCCAGGTGTAAACATAACAATAGTAAAATTAAAATGTAGTAGTGTGAATTCAGCCAAAATTTCAACAACTGACCCCCAGTAAAAACCAGGAATTGTCAGCAAACTAGAGCCATCATTGTAAGCACAAAAAGTAAAGCAGTGTCTATGTTAAGTTATGTGTAAGGACTTAATCATGCAAAGGAGAAATCCCAACAATACCTGACACTGTGTCAATTGGCTAACCTGCACACGACCACGAGCCTCCTCTGCATACGTGCCCTTTGAAAACCAATTAAATAAAAGTCTCCTACTCCAAACAAATCCACATTTTCGCTCCTAGACAAGCCACCTTATCATGGCAGAGAAAACTTTGTGCCTGTGTGACCCTGGGAGCAGTGCTGTCCGGATCATTTAGCTTCTGGTAAATTGGTCCCAGGCATGAGGCCAGACAACAAGAGAACGACTAACACCTATTCTATGACAAAGGGAAACATGAGGCATTTGGTTGAGCAGGAAACTTCCTTTTTGGACATCTTTAACCTTTTTGATGCAAACAATTTCCATGAAATCCTTCACACTACGCTGGTTCATAAAGCAACACCATGTGAAAATGTAATGTAGATATCTCATCATGTGGTGGGAAACATAAGCATACAAGTTATGGAAAATATGTTTTAGCAGTTTCCTATTACAGCATATTGGTATTAACTTCAAGAGCTGTGTTTCTTGGATGCATTACTTGGAGATGCACTTAGAAAATGTGCTGATGTTCTGTGAAATCCCCTTATGGTTCTCCAGGGCAAAGCAAAAGTACTCGACATGAAGAGAAACAAACCCAGATGATGTCAAAGTCCAGGCTTTGAAGTTGCGCCTGACAGATACTGGACTTATGGAACCAATCCTGGTGCCGATTTTAGTAAAAGTTAGATAGATGTATCAGTCGTTTTTCTTTGTATTCTGCAATATATATCATGAAATTTAGTAGGTTGATGGTTAATTTGTAGTGGAAATGATAGATTTTGCTCCATCATTTCTTAGGAAAATCAGGGCCAATGAAATCAGGTGATCATCGGTATCTCCCACGTTCTACTTTGAAATTTACAACAGCTCAATGAAGTGAGTTGTATCAGACGAACACCACTTTGCATCAATCTACCATATGCTGTTGATTGATGCAGTTGATACACATGATCAGTAAGATTATTGGTATTTAAGATGATCAGTAAGATTATGAGTATTTAAAAACATGTTTTCAGGCCCAAAGTAAAAAAGGGAGAGGACAAATGTTGATAGCATCGGCCATTCTCTTTACTGACCTAATCTCAACAAACCCCCCACACAACACATACAACTTTCACAGCCTGTCCCCCCGTATCCCATTCAGACAGTGTCGGGTGAAAGCCCTAAGTCTTCCCTCATTCAATAAGATGCCTGTCAATTCCAGCCGGGGTTTCCATGTCTCTCCAAACACAGGGAGGCTGGGTCAGAAGAAAAGTCCACCAGAGAGAAATCCCATCTGTGTCCTCATCCATTCTGCGGGTCTGGACATGAGCAAACAGCTCGCCTTCACCACCCTGGCAACCCCTTTCACTTCACACCAGCAAACCATTTGAGTCCAAACACACACACGCATTGAATCAAGGTCCTCGACAGCAGACCCAACACCATCTCATGAATCCAGAGAGATAAACGTTTTAGTTGTCGTGCACATAAGCAGACTTCCTGGCTCTTTGTGATGCTGGTAGCAAAGCCCTCTGAGAAGCTTGGAGATACTGACAGGAGACAACCCCTCTTTCTGGACCAAAACAACATGTTTAAATGGCAAGCCTTCAACTATGGCGCAATGAGGATTTATTTGATGTTTGCATATGGTAATCATTGTCCAGACATAAGGATTTGGCTTTTTGTAGAAAGTTCAAAAACACTTTAATGTGCTGTATTAAAATAACATATTCAAGATCTGCAGATAAACATTACTGCTAGTAAATGTGGCCCCTTCAATAATCCTCTTGTACCTTTAAAACGTTTTTTTTTTAAGAAAAGGAACTTGCCAAGCTATTGTTTAGTCTAACTTTGAGTTTGTTATCATAAAAAACAGATAGGTTTTCTTGTGTAGAATTTTTTTTTGAACCAGTCAAAATTCGGTGGAACAGGTGCATAATTTGTCGATGGTCATTAAACTCCACGACTGTCTCTGCTCTTGCTCAGTTCAAAGCATAATTCCTCTTTCAATTACATGTCCAACAGACACAGAGCAATGCGATGGGAAAGTTCAGTCCTCAATTGGTGAGTTTGCTTGGACAGATTGGACAAATATTTCCTTTGTGCGGTCGTCTCCTCGCCTCTGTTCGGCCCTGACAGCCACAGAAGAGGGAGTGAACAATGCAAACTGCACAACATTATGGACTGGGTGGCTGCTCTACCCACGACACATGGCTGTCTCACCAGCTGCCTGTCTGTTTACATTTCACCACTAGCCTAAGGTATCAATTATGTTTATGAGGAAAAGGAGGCTAATAGCACAGTGTGGCCAGCATTCAGTTTTCTAAGTAAGCTACGTTTTTCACTTAAAGAGCAGCATGTCTGCATAAACTACAGAAATAAAGGCAAAGTGATGACAAAAGTGCAAATAATTAATTTTAACATGCTGCAATGAAAAGCTATTGATGGGAATATGGTTTCCTTTAAAGGACTTATAAATTCACAGCACCAATTTCAGCTTGAATGATTGTTGTTTTTGACGTCAACTAAGAACACATTTGGTTTGAACGTCATGTAAAAATGCCCACCCCTACTCTTATCCGCTTTTCGTGCCAAGAAAAACACCCCACACAGTACGACAACTTCAGATGTCTTTGGCTCCATATGGAGCCATCTACAGAGTGGAAGGCTCTGTAACAGCACACCAACTGCAAGGACAAACAGCAGCCTTGACCACATGTTCTTGTAAATCAAACCCTGAGACTGCTCCTCTGTGTCAGCGTCTGACATCCAGCACTAAAGCGCAGGTGATGCCATTAAGATCACTTCATAGTTCTACTTCACAACCTCCTCAGCAAAGCAGACAGAGGTAGTAAACCTGACCAGAGGAAGCAGAAAAAAACATTGTAGATGTGTAAACTTTAATTTATTAATGGAAACTATGACCAAAGTACGAGTGTTCTCCATAACACCTGGAAGTTGCCAAATACAATTCCGGTCTTCAGTTGACCAACCTGAGCAATTTATTTTGACTTTTATTAAATGGATGTCAACAACCATCAAGGAAATTTAGAGAAAGATTAAACGTCTTAACCTTCAACAGGTTT